CCATGCCCAGCTTCACCCAAGTCCCCTGTGACTCCCACCCCATTGCCAGAACTGGGCAATTGTATCCCAAGATTTCTCCCCAAGGACCCTCCCTAGAACCCCTTCCCCACAGCCCCACCTTGAGCCCACCCAGGACCCCAGCCCCAGAGCCCCCCCAGCCTATAGGAGCCCCAGTGCCCCCCATAGCCAGAGCTCCCCCCACCCTGCCAGCTCAGACTGGCCACATTCCCTGCCCTCACCCCCATGTTGTCCCTGGGGGCACGAGAGCCTCAGCCTTAGGTACAGTACAGGGTGGGGGCTGGAGCAGACTCTTACCACCTTCCTGCCCTAGGGCCAGGGCTGTACTGGTCTTGCCAGCCCCCCCAGGGGAAACTGGGTCACAGTCTGTGGCTTCCCCCCTGCCCTCCACTCCTCAGCTGCCTCCTTGAGCTTCCAGGCCTTGGCCTTGGAGAAGGATGAGAGCTCACAGGGCCCAGGCATGCTGGTGGGGAAGGGATCCAGTCCAACAGCACAGCACTGGACCCCAGCGTCACAGACTGGGGAGCTGTGGCCACATCACTGCCACAGCCCAGACCCCAGGGCCACGGCCAGGTGGAATCACAGCCCTGTGGCCGCAGCTGAGCCACGTCAGGCCCAGACAGCATGAAGGGAACCAAGGTCCAGCCACATCGGAGCCGAGCCAGGCACCCAGGGACAGGAGAGCCATGGGAAGGGCTGAAGAGGGGCCAAACAGCTCAGGCAGCCAACAACCACTGCACGGGGGCAGAGGCCCAGCCTCAGCCTCCGGCCCATCCTGCATCCAGCTCCCACAGTGGCAAGCAGCTGCTGGGCTGAAGCAGGCAAGGGGCAGGTTTGCCCCGTGGGATGGAGACACTGGGTGACAAAGACCGGCTGGAGTGCGGCCAGAGGGAGACCAGCACCCCGTGGCACCTGGAGCCACGCTCTCCCACCTTGCGGCCATTACACAAGCCACACCTGGACCACAGCCGTGAAGAGGGCCAGAGCTAGAGAGACTGGGGCTCTGGAAGTGGATGAGTGCCAAGCTAAGCAGGACACGCAGACCAGCAGTGGCGTGGAGCCCCCTCCACCTCTGTCTCTGAGACCCTGGGCCCTGGTGCAGATGGGCAGGCCAACGAGGGGCTAAAACAAGCTGGGCTTTTATTGAGCTTGCTCATGTCTCAGGCCTGTAAACAGCGAGCAACAAGGGCGGGACACAGCCCGGGCAGGAAGGCCTTGTGCCCACGGCTGCCGCTGCAGCCCGCCGGGTATCCCAGCATGGAAGGGATCTCGCTCACCCCGTGTCGCAGAGCCTGCTGGTGTCGGGAATGCCGGAGGCAGGCGGGCGGGTGAGCGCTACTGAGGCGGCCCTGGGGTGGGGGGCAGCAGCTGGCGGCCCCGCAAGAGGTCACGTGTTCTTGGAGGTGTGGAACCCTGAGCTGTTTCCTCGCGGGCGCCCGGCGGTCACTGCGGGGGCAGGGGGATGCCCCGCGGGTCGGTGACCTGCCCCTCCTGCAGGTTCTTGACCAGCTGAGCCAGCCAGCGCTTGGTGGTGGTGTCGTCCTTGAGGACCTGGGCGAAGGTGGTGTCCTTCAGCTGGTCGGGAAGGCACTGCCTGAGGGCTTCACGTGCCCTACACCAGGAGACGAGAAACAGGGGGACCAACAAATAAACCCGCACTGGCGAGAAGGGGGGGACCAACCCCGCTCCCGGGATGCTTGCTGCGCTGCCCAGACTGCCTGGAACACGCAACTGTCTCGCAGGCCCTTGACAACGTGCTGCAAGCACACAACTCCCAGCTCCTGGGCCTGGGACTGAACCCAGCAGAGCCAGGACCTCAGAAGCAGAGGGAGCTGGCATCCTGCCCTGGCACCTTCCTTCCAGGGATGGGCCAAGCCACGCAGAGCCGAGACAGGCAGCGATGCCCTCGGGAGAGCTGGGTGAGTCCACAGGGGTCCCGGGCACAGAAAAGTGGAAGTGGATTTGGAAGGAGACATGCGGCCCCGGCCCCCTGCCCAGCAGTGCATCGAGACAGCCCCAGCCCCCAAACTCCTAAGATGTTTACCTGGGGTTGTCGGAGAGACGCAGGTAGCAGCGCACCACGTGCTTCAGCAGCCGTGCCGAGGGCTCCTTGGAAAGCTGCAGCACCATCTTGCCCTGCAGGTCAGAAGGCAGAGGGACTGTCAGGAGCTGCCAGCTGGGATGGGGCTGCCCGGCTCCTCCCCTTTGCCCTGGGCATTGGCAAAAACCGATCCAGGGTGTTACAAAGCAGGGTGTGGTTTGCAGGGAGGGGCAATGCCCAGCTCCCAGCCTCCTTCCCCTGCCCCCCACAACTGGGGCAGACAACTGACAAGGACACCAGTCCCAGGGAGGGCAAGCACTGCCCCGTCCCTCTGCTCAGAGGCAAAGCCCCTTCCCTTCACTTCCCACCACCCCCTCCTGCCCATCACTGCCAGCTGGGCTGCTCAGCAAGGCAGTGGCCAGGGGGTATATTCCCCCTCCCCGTGCCTGCTCCCAGGCTGGCAGGGAGGGGAGCTGCTGTGTCCTGGGCCAAGTGCAGCCCCTCTGCAGTGCAGCTGGAGCACACAGGAGCTCCCCATCCCTGTCCCAGCAGCAGGCAGGGGAGGGAGGGGAGGTGCCTTTGAGCACAGAGGGGAAGGGAGGGGGAAAACACTCTTGCTGCCTTTAAGACTGAAATCCGTGGCTGTTGCTCCAGCTGCATGGTCAGAAAGGTGGGAGGTAGGGGGACCTCCAGATCCGCCCCTGGTTAACCATCTCCCCAAAAGGCACCAGCCAGCTCTGACAGACAGTCCCAGGTTTTCCCAGCCCAGGGGCTAATCATTCCCCACACTGCTGTGTTACACACCTGGGCCTGGTGTCTCACCCAGAACCACCAGCTTCCCTTGATCCAAGAGCATGTGCAGACAGTTTGCCCTCCTGGGAGAATTTTTCCTGGGAGGGATTTAACCCTGGTTGTTCCCAGGTTATTTCTCTCCTGAAGCAGGCATTGCTACTCTGAGAGAAAAAGCCTAAATGCCAGGACATTCCTGGTTTCTCCTGGGGAAGCAGTGACTCTCTCCTGGGAGAAACTGAATTCTGTACAAGGCCAGAAACACCAAGCAGCTTGCAGCCTGGTACCAACACCCAGACGCACCTCCAGTTCCCGCCGACAGCCCCTTGGCGTCCAGTGGCCAGTTCAAACCCCATGTACCCTGCCAAGTGCTAACATTTAATCAAAACGACTGGCAGAAAGCCAAGCACCTCACAAAGAGTCTAAACCTGCCACCTTCGCAGTCACCTTGGACATGGCAAGTTTTGCTGACCAATGCCAGGCTAGACCCGGGGGAGGGCAGTCTGTGCTCTCAGAATCAATCTCAGAACCATAGAAAATGGGGGCTGGAAGGGACCTCAGGGGGTCACATCTAGTCCAACTCCCTGCTCCCAGCAGGACCAGCCCCAACTACATCATCCCAGCCAAGGCTTTGTCTACCCAAGTCTTAAAACCTCCAAGGATGGAGACTCCACCACCTCTCTACGGAACCTGTTCCAGTGTTTCACCACCCTCCTTGTGAGAAAGTTTTTCTTAATATCCAACCTCAACTTCCCTTGCTGCAGCTTGAGCCCATTGCTCCTTGTCCTGTCATTTGCCCCCACTGAGCACAGCCCAGCTCCATCCTCTTTGCAACCCCCCTGCAGGGAATTGAAGGCTCTTACCAAATCCCCCTCAGCCTTCTCTGAAGCCCAGTTCCCTCCAACTCTTCTCACAAGTCCTGTACCCCAGCCCCACAACCATTTTCAATGCACTTAAAGCTTGTGTAAACTCTCTCCTAGCAATGCAGTCAAGTCCCGTTAACGTCAACACCAAGAAGAAACCTTATTTCCTGGCCCATCACAGCCACAGCACTCCAGCCCTACTGAAAACACAAAATCACCTCTCTGGGTTTTCCATATAACCACACTGGCTCGCAAAAGTTATACCCCTACCTTTAAATTCCATACTGGCTAGCTCTGAGATCAGTTTTTCCCCTGGGTATTATAAAGTATATTAAAAACACACAATCGGTGGACTGCAATGATCTCGGCCCACTCTTTTAGGGCTCTTGTGTGCATGTAAGCATATAATTAATCATCTTTGCAACACCAGGATGTTGGCGGCTGGGGTCCTCCTGCTTTCCCGGGGGCAGGGGCGATGCCTGGGGCTGCATCAGGGTGACTGTCATGTTACTCAGGTTGGACATAGGATTTGTCTGGGCTGGTCTGGATGGGGCTGATCCTGCCCTGGGACTAGATGCGACCTCCGGTGGTCCTATCCAGCCCCTCCTCTCTATGATTCTAACGTTACCCATGTCTATGGGCTGCAAGATGTTTAGGTCTTGCTCTGTTACTAATGGATGGGAAAGCACTTAACAGTGTAACCCATCGTTCCACCTTGTTCCAAACGTGGAAGAGAAACCTACTGAATGCTTCCGTTGCCCCCCACATCACTGCAACTCTACCAGCTCCACCAAGGAACGGGCACATACCATTACCAGAACAGCTTCTGTTCATAACCCACCTTCAAAAAGGCTTTTAAAAGCCTGTAAGATATCAAGTGACCTACACTTAAAACACAGGTATTTCCTGAAGCACAATTAACGTCCTGTTTCCTTTCTAGTCAGAGGCATTGCTGCTTACAAGATGTTTAATCAGGCTGCTTGCAACCTGCTAAAAATAATGGATCTTCTGACACTTCGTCCAGCCAGTTGATGGCGGTGGCTTGCCCTGGAGGGACTTGGCTAATCATACCACCCTGTGGCTGGAGCAGAGAGAGGTGAGCAAAGGGAAAGGACCAGCCAGTCCTACCAATATCATGGCGACGTGAGAAAACCGCTCATAGGTCTGGCAGATGTAAGCCAGCCCAGTGTCGTCCAAGAGGATCTTCTGAAGAATAAAGGTGGCAACCTGGAACGGAGGAGAGATGGAGCACGCTCAGCTGCGTCCACAGAGAACGTCCAGCCCCATCTGTTCTGTGACGGGAACCCCAGGAGGAAGAGCTGGACGTTGCCCCACATGTGGAACTGGCAGTGAGCAGGGGCACAGCAGGGGAGGGAGTTGGGTGTGAACAAAGGATGAAACCTGGTCAGGTGTTTGCTAACAATCACCAGGGCACCATCCAAGAGACCTCGAGCAGGGGAGGCCTCACTACTCAGTTTGGCTGACCAGCTGCAGGAAGCAGGTGATGGGTTTAAAATGAACCAGTAAAAGGACTTTTGACATAATGCACTACTAAAATGTGGGATTTGTTGCCCCAGGAGGGAGTGGAGGCTGACGGCAGAGTCAGGAAGGGACTGGATATGTTCATGGAGGATTCATGGGTGTTGAACAGACTGGGTGGAAATGTTTCATCAGGAACCTCCAACCCAATGATGGTGGAGGCCAGGGAGGGTGCTGGATAGGGGACAGAGCACTCTAGAGAGATCCAGGTTAGTGTTCATCCTCTATATAGCATCGAGCCCGCTGGCGTTGGAGATGGCACACAAGGCTGGATGGACCATAGGTCTGACCCAGTCTAGCATTGGAAATTTTACCCTATGATCAGGCTGGTAAGGACTGGGTTGGGGGTGGGGAGAGAAAGGAGGGGTTGCCTTCCTCTGTAGCAGGGGGTCATAGCCCTCTCCCTGGGATCTCTTGAGTGTGTATTAACAGCCTTGTATAGAAGCAGGATGTTGTCCCCCTGCTTTCCCTGCAGCAGGGTCGGGTGCGATGTCCGGTGTTGTGTCAGGATTGATGGTATTTTTATGAAAAGTTTATATGATGGGTTTGTCTGGGATGATTTGGACAGGGCTGATTCTGCCTTGGGCAAGGGGTTGGTCGAGACCTTCCCTCCAGAAGTCCCTGCCAGCCCCGCTTCTCTAGGATTCTATGATCTACCTGCTGCCATGAGGGGTGAGGGGGCCAAGGAAGCACCGAACACAGACCCAGAGAACAAGGCTCGGGGCAAGTACCGTTTTGGAGAGCTCGCTACCAGACTCCATGATGCGCAGGCACAGCGGGATAATCTCTGTCGTCAGGAGGAAGTTGATGACTTCCTGCTCATCTGTCTTCACCAGGGCTCCTGGGGGAGGTTGGGGGGAAACCATGGATGGGACTTTTGAAACAATCCTGTTTTTTAGAGCACACCGAGCATTGCTCCAAGGCTCTCACATGCAGAAGCACTTCCAAGTACCAGCAGGACACCCAAAGGCCTGAATGGGTCCTCCATGGTGGGGAGTGGAATCAGCAGTCAGCCTTCCCCAGAGGTGAATACTGAAGGGACTGAACCCCTGGATTTCCAAGCAGGCACTTACAGAAAGTTGCCCATACCATCCAGGAGCAAGAACCAACACCTCAGACAGGCCAACAGCTTTTGGGAGCCCTTTCCAAGCATGTGCTACGGTCATGAGAGCGGAGGGGAGTGTGCTGTACTGTACTACCCAGTGACCCGAGGCCACCCCCTCCCCAGGCCAGGCTAGAGAGCTCCTCTGCAGAGACATCATCATCTAGGGGGGAAAATGTGTCCAGGCCAGGACAGCATAGGGGGAAACCCTGGTTTGCACCCTCCAGTCACTGGTCTTGGCTGGCTGAGGACTGAACAGAAGCTGCTGACAGGACCCACCCCCACAGCCCCTCTGTTGGGGTAGACCCTTCTCTCCTGGGTGAGGAAGGGGTTTGTGGCCCTCTCTCCTGCCTGCACCTCCCAGCAAACCCTCTCTGGCATGGGCTGATGGGATGCAAGCTAGAGTATGCACTTGGGCATCAAACCCCTCTGCCCACAAAAGCCATGGCTGCAGGGCTCCTGGGGGCTTTTCATTCCTTGCACATAGCATTTAGAGACACCGCTGCAAGCTCTACAAGGAATGAAGCCAGCAAACTCGGTGCAGTGGAAAGTGACAGCCTCCAGCAGCGGTAACACCGATATCACATGGGGAAGGACAGTAACACGGATGCGGATGGTTTGCACTGGTATAAGGGGCTGCAGAACAGCAGTTAGGGAACAAGCAGGCACTTACCGATGACGCCGAGGCTGGTGAGCCTCAGGTACTCGAAGGGCCGGGTCTTGCTGACGGTGTGCAGGAAGGGGTAGAGGAAGAGGGGGATGTGGGCCGCCAGGAAGGCCGACCTGCAAGAGAGGACACGATCCTTGAGAGCCCTGGGGGGAGATGAGAACATGTGACACGGGCACAGAATGTGTTCTCCTGCCTGGGTCTACACAGATGCTGACACAAGCGCTCCTCACTGGAGACAGTGACAGGGAGGCAGGCAAAGCAACTGGCTGCAGGCCACGTGTCAGGCCAGAGCAGGCGATCACCTGCCATTATAGCTTCTGGCTGTGCAAGCTTGACCCTCAATGACCTGCCATCCCCCTGCCCATGGCCTGTCCCTGCTCACGTCTAGACAGTATGCTCTCTATGGCACAGACTACCAGCCACTAGCTGCATGCATGGTCCCAAGCCCAGTAGAGAACACGACAGCATCTGTGCATCTAAACCACCACCAGCTCCAACCCCTCCTGAGAGTGGACAACAAGGAAGAGAGACTGCAGGGAGCCAGGGTGAAGGTTACTCCATTACTGTGCTCAGAAGAAGCTAAATGGCGCTCACCCTGTGTGGGCTCAGCCAAAAGCCTTCCCCAGCAGAGATCTCTCTGGAATTGTGATGATACAGAAACCCAGCACCAGGCTCTTTCCTTGGGCACTAACATGGGGGGCTGTTGAATACCATGTGGCAGGGGCTATGAAACACCTCTTGTTCCCTGATCACTCCAGCAGGCTGCTTCAGGGACGCTGGAAAGACAAGGCAGCCAGGCCATTGGGCTGATTTTGCCAGCGCCTGACGGTGTCTTCTGACACTTCGCTCTCACAGCAGGAACCTCTCCCAGGCTGCATGCACAGGTGCTCTGACATCATGAGTGAAAGCAGCATCGAGCTGTTGATCACCCACCCTTGGCCATCACCCCATGCGCCCCTTACCTGGTCTCTGGGTGCGAGGCAACGCACTGCAGCAGCGCCAGGGCATTGCAGACTCGGTTGGATTGATGAGCCGTCAGGGTTGGTGGGTTTATGGAGGGGTAAATATTTACAATTTCCTGGAAGAAATTAAAGCAACAGTAAGGGCCAAGGCTCTAACAAGAAAGCCAAGTGCCTGCGAGGAGCTGGGTGAGAGCTGCCTCCTCCTGTGACCAATTCAAGAGCAGTCTGAAAGGAAGTGGAGCCCTGAAGGCAGCCAACGCTGCCGAGGGGAGGTCTGCACTGCACAGTTGGCAAGGATGGCAAACGGATGCAGCAAATCTGCAAGAAATTCTTCTGATGACAGCTGCACTGGACTGCTCCAGAGGCAACAACAAAGATGATCAAGGGCTTGGATGACAAGCCACATGAGGAGAAGCTGAAGGAGCTGGGTCTGTTCCGCTTGCAGAAAAGGAGCTTGAGAAGATAATTAGGCCAAAAGAAATCTCATGAGGTTCAACAAGGACCAGCGCAAAGTCCGGCACTTAGGAGGGAGCAATCCCCTGTACCGGTGCAGGATGGGGGTGGCTGGCTGGACAGCAGCTCTGCAGAAAAGGACCTGGGAGGACAGGAGACAAGAAGCTGAACAGAGTCGGCAGTGTGCCCTTGTTGCCGAGAAGGTCAACATCATCCTGGGCTGCGTTGGTAGAAGTGTTGCCAGCAGGTCAAGGGAGGTGATGCTTCCCCTCTACTCAGCACTGGGGAGGCCACATCTGGAGTCCTGTGTCCAGTTCTGGGCCCCCCACTATAGAAAGGATGCGGACACATTGGCAAGTCCAGCAGAGGGCAATGAAAATGGGTGGAGGGCTGGGGGACGTGACTTATGAGCGGAGGCTGAGGGAACTGGGTTGATTTAGTCTGGAAAAGAGAGGACAGAGGGGGGATTGAATAGCAGCCTTCAACTCCCTGAAGGGGGGGTGCCAAGAGGATGAAGCTGGACTGTCCTCAGTGAGGGCAGATGACAGGACAAGGAGCAATGAGCTCACATTGAAGCAAGGAAAGTTGAGGTTAGATATTAGGAAAAAAAACTCTCTCACTAGGAGGGCAGTGAAGCACTGGAGCAGGCTCCCCAGAGGGGTGGTGGAGTCTCCATCCTTGGAGGTGTTGAAGACCTGGGTAGACAAAGCCTTGGCTGGGATGATGTAGTTGGGGCTAGTCCTGCTTGGAGCAGGGGGTCAGACTAGATGCGACCTCCCAAGGTCCCTTCAACCATCATTTTCTATGATTCTAAATACCTGAAGGACTGCTGTAGCACCTTTTCTCTCTTGATGCAGAGAGCAGGACGCAGACCCCTGGCTTGAAGTTGCAGGGAAGTCGGTTTACACTGGATCCCAGGAAACACTCTTACACTGTTAGAGCAGGGAGACAGTGGGGGGGACTCTTCAGCACTGGACGGTTCAAGAAGCTGGAAAGGCGCTGGACAGGGATGATCTAGATGCAGTGATGCCTGTGCTCTGCTATAGGGATTTCCCAGGCTGCAGGAATTTACTAGTTGCCTCCCTCTGCTACATGTGTTGGGGGACGGGGGGGGACGACTAAATGTGACCTCCTCAGTTCCCTGCCAGCCCCACGGCTCTAAGAGTCTATGATTCTTAGACTCTCAGCCAGCACCTACAGGTACTTACACAGTTACAGAGAAAAGCACCTACATCATGCCCAACCATCCCAGAATGCAAAAGTCTGCCCAGTTCTGCTGTGTGCCAGGACCTCTGTTCTCCTTGAACTGACTCTACAGAACCAAATCACAGGGTCCCATGAGTACAAGAGAGGTCTTGAGAAATACAAAGCTTTTGACCTACCCCTGTCATAAAGAAGCGGGGCTGGAAGGGACCTCTGGACTTCATATCTAATCTAATCCCTGCCCAAGGCAGGATCAGCCCTGTCCAAACCACCCCAGACAAACCTATTATCCAACCTATGAGCAAAACGACAGTCACCCCCGACACAGCCCCAGGCATCACCCCCACCCCTGCCCCAGGGGTGCCACGGCTGCGAACTTCCTGCTGCTGCAAAGGGAGTTAATATATGCTTGAGTGACTCCAGGTAGAGGCTGCAAAGACAAACTCCACTGCCCTCCAATCCCAACTCCAGTCTGTACAAATCTGACCATGGGGGAAAATTCCTTTCTGACCCCAAATCTGGCATCAATCTGACCCTCATCAGAGAGGCAAAACCCGCTAGCCTGGAAACTCCGACTTTGGCACAGCCTGGTCCCAACCTCCACCCTGGGCTGTAGCCAGCACCCAATGCCTCAGAGAAGTTTAAAAAGAACCAAAACTCTGACATGTAGCAGCAGGAGGGGGAAAAAGAATTCTTCCCAACCCCATGCTCATTTCTAACAGCTTCTCACCTCCTCCCCTGGTCCCTTCCAAAGAGAAGTTTAACTCTGCATGCCCTGCCTCCCTGACTTCCTTTCCTCCAAGGACACCTACATGTTGGATGCTGAGAGAAGCTGCTATGGAATATAGTGCCCTGGGGAAGAGGCAAACAGCTGTGTCTGAGCAGGGAAAGATGTGGGTGTGTTTATCTGGAGCATCTCTCCATGCAGTTGGGGAGCAGCCAACTAACTGCCATCCAAACCAGGGAGTAGTCCGTGTTACTAGGGAACTGGGGGAGAGAGGGGACAAGCCAGTGAGATGTGTAGGGGTTCTGGATACACCAGGCTGTAGTTATACTAAGCTCGAGGTAAGCTATGGCACCTGCAAAGGACCTTGGGAGTAGCTGGCTTCCCGAGGAATAAGAAGTTAGACTTCACTAGTAAAGTAGAAATAACAAGAGGCAAGCTGGATTTAGCAGGGGGTGAGCTGGGAAAGCCCAAATTCAGCAGAACGTGAGCTGGAGAAGCCCCAGATCAGCAGGGAGCGAGCCCTAGATACCCGAACGTGGCAGGCAGCAGCTGCAGTTGGCAAGAGACAGTTACACTGAGCTGGGCGGATGGCTAAACAGTCCTGCTAGTGCATTGTCCTAAGAGGCAATAAACCTCTCTAAGCTTTTGTCACCAAACCTAAGAATTGCCATGTCCTGGGTCCAACTTGCCCAGCGTCCCGTCCCATTGTCCCCCCACCCCGTGTCACAGCAGCAGACAGCAGAGGCTGACAGGGAGAGCG